CTTTTCCCCTGTCTTCTAAACCACGACAAAGGCTATCAGGGGAAAAGTGGTAAAGGCAAAAGTTTAAGCAAGGGAGTGTTTGGAGCTCTTTTTGAAATATTGATAATGCCAGACAACAGTAAATGTCACTTTGTCTATTCTGTTCCTAACAATTAAATATATTTTTCAAATTTTACTTAAGTTTTTTTTAAATCACAGAATCACAGAATGGCCTAGGCTGGAAGGGACCTTAGAGATCATCTGGTCCAACCTCCCTGTCACGGGCAGGGACGCCTCTCAACTAGATCAGGATACTCAAGGCTCCATCCAACTTGGCCTTGAACACCTAAAGGTTGGTATTGATTAGCCTGTATGTTTTCCAGTTTGTTTTCAACTAAATGCAGTCAGTACACAATGCTTGATGTTTTTTGTAGTGAAAAACATTTATAGGGATATTTATTCAATTAAATAGTTTCAAATGGGTTTTGGTTGGATTTTTCACTTTGACCTGTTTTCTTTTGTTGGGAAATGGTTGGCAATGCGTTTTAAAATGTGTGGCTCAAATTTTTCATGTTGCCCTAGGGTCTGTTTGGGTAGAAACTGAAATTCACTAAATTGTAAAACATTTTTTGTCTCTTTTCTGATGCAAAACTATCTTTGTCATTTGAAGTGAACTTGTTAAAACAGAGGAGTTAGTTATTTGTGAATTGAAGTGATTGTTTCTAGTTATTCTCATTTTTTGTCTGACTCCAGATCAGAAACTTAATGTTGCTGTCAGAGGGCTTTTTTGATACAGAATTTATATTTTGCTTCCTTAGTAAAACTTACTGAGCTGCTCTATACTGGAAAAAAACCAACTTTGCATTAACAGCAATTATTTGACTTAATAGTAATGGAATTTATTAATAATTTTCAAATAGATCAAAGCTTCTATACAGCTTAGATCTTTCAGTCTACATCAGCCTGGAAAAGCTGACTTGCGCTTGTACAGGAGTGGATGGGATGGGATGGGATGGGATGGGATGGGATGGGATGGGGGTTAGTCAGTGCCCGCGTGACTCTTTCACCCCTGCCCTGTATCTCTGTAACACTGAAGGTGATGGACAAACTCTGTGGAATTATTACACGTAGAAGTAGATGTCGTGTAAGTTCTACCAAAATTACTGGGCACCAGTGTTGTGGCAGCTGTGGTCAGTCTGTGGCTGGCAAACGAAAAAAAAGGCAGCTGTGGGGCAGGTCCAGTGCCACTGGGCTGCCAATCCTGGGGCTGCTGGGCTCCAGTGCTGGGGCGTGGCTCCTGTCACGGTGTCTTCTGCACTGCCTGTAGGGATTTTGTGCCAGATGGTTCAACCAGGAGTGATTTCACATGCAGTGGGGCCCAGGTGGGCTCGAGTGGCTGCTGCTCTCAAGCACTGGGGATCTGTGGGAAAGCCCTGATGCCCCCTGGCTGCCAGTGCTGGGGCTGCTGGCCACGAGTAGCTATGGGAAGGGCTTGATGCTGCCTGTTTGGTAGCGCTGGGGCTGGTGAGCTCCAGGCTGGCACTGAGAATTGTATGGTGGTGTTCTCCAGCACTGCCTCCACTGTCTGCTCTAGGTGATGATCCCGCCAGAAAGGCTAGGAGGAAGAGGAAAGGGGTGAGTGACATGAGAAGGACTGGGTCCTACCCCAGTGGCTGCAAGGATGGGAGAGTGCGGAGATTAACAGTCAACTTAATTGGACTGGTGGAGGGGGATCAGAGCCTGCATTCAGTGGTGAAACACATCGCATCCTGCAGCGATGGCTGGTCCAGCTGTAGGGTTTTTTGGCCTGATGTTGCAAACAGGAGTGGTCTTGCACCCTCACAGGTGTAGCAGGACTGGCATGGCTGCTGCTGTGGCAGGCTAGGGAGATGAAGGAGGACCCCAATGGCTGCTGGCTGGTGGTGGTGGTGGGCCTGCTGCTGCCAGGATGCGGGGAGCTGTAGGATGGCCCCAGCAGCCATTGGGTTGAGTGCTGGCATTCAGCTCCTCACAGCATCATGACCAGGAGTGGTCATGAAGCCGCATGGGCCCAGGTCAGCTGGAGCAGCTGCAGCACTGAAGTGCTTGAGAGCTGCAGGGGGACTCTGCCACTACTGCCTGGCTGGATCTGCTGGGGTCAGTGAGCGCTGGGCTGGGACTGGAGGCTGTAATGGGAAATGGGAAGGTCAAGGCATGGCTAACATGCCCATAGTAGGATAGGCCAGAGCAGTGACTGCAGCTCTCTTGGAGCAAAGAGGTTCTACCAAGCCCACCCTGGGCACTGCTGCCAGGCCTTGCCTGGCCCCTGGCCCCTGCACAGGTGCTTTGCCTCTTGCTGATGCTGAGGCCACCACAACTGTTGCACTCCCAACTGTCTGTGCTGTTCAAGTGGGAGCAGCCTCTGTGAGTGCCCTTAGCAGTGCAGGAGGAACAAAGGAGGAGTTGTCAGGACTGGGGGAAGCAAATGCGTTCATGGCTCTGAGGACATTGCCTGTGGAACCAGGTGTGCTTGCATGTGAGGTACACCTTGGTAATGTAGGTCTTTCTGTCCTCCACCAGGTCCATGCAGATGAGGCAGGTGGTATCCACCTCTGGAGTTGCCTCTGTTGTCTGCTCTGGGTGGTGTTCTGAGCAGAAGGACCTGTGGCAGAAGAGAAAAGAGATGGGTGAGGTGAGGTGAGAAGCGCTGGGTCCTTCCCCAGTGACAGAGAGGAGGGCATAGGAGGTACCTATAGTCTGAACAGAACTGGGTGATACATCCACCCTTCACAGCACATGGGAGATGGAAACTGTAATTGCAGCCCATCTCAGCAGGTAGTGGTGGCCCTGATCTCTCCACAGATGATGCAATCCTGGAAAGGTCACAGCAGGTCCCATCAGTGGCAGCCTCAGGCAGCCCAGCTCCCAAGGCAGCCCCACCCCTCTGGGCAGGGCACAGGATATGGCCACTGCTGGGTCACACCCCACAAATCTGCCTGGCCACCGAGACTCCTATTGCTGGAGCCTCTGGGGAGCATCGGGATTGCTGCTGATAAATTCATTCACTGCAATAATGCTAGTGTATAATAATAATGCTAACAAAATACTACCCCCAGGTATTTCTCTCCAAAAGGTGAAAACACAGTCATAGAATCATAGAACAATTCAGGCT